TTTTCTTCTCAACCTATACATTCTGCTTGGGCAATCCCACCCACTTCCACGTTTTAGTTATCATTCAACACCAATAACTCCCCCAAATTTATATCTCTTATTCAAATTTCACCTCTGAACCCCAGACCTATATACTCAACTGCTTCCTCAATAGTTTAACAACAAAATCTCAAAGGCATCTTAACTCAATATGCCCCACCCTTAATTCATCTTCTCTTCTAACCTTAAAACTTCTCCTTCTTTCATTATCTAAGTAAATTCATTCCAATTCACCTAGTTACTCAAATCATAACTTCTGAGGTCATGATGGTGTCACATCTTCAACCCTCACAGCCAATCAATCATCATTTCCTCTTTGTTATACAGTCAGTGCTGCTATAACACTCACTTTGAAAGAACAAATTTGTTCCATGCAAGTGATATATTAGGGTACAATTTAACATAACACAAATTTTGCATTTGTTTATTGCAATTCTGTCCATGAGAAACACTGGATAAACACGGGAAACTATACTCAGCTGAAGAGAGCTGTGTAGGAATATACAAAACACATGCATGTACATACCTCCAATGTCAACCAGCTAGCTTGATCACGACATCCTATAGACCACATTCATCTGGTTATAACTTTCCATCTGATTTTACACTATCTTTTTCTGCCATTTCACAATAACTCACAATCTATAACCCTTGTCATGCCCATTTCTACCAGCAAAGTATGGGTCTTTTTCAAGGTGAAGTGCCATATTTATTGTAGTATTTATGTATTTCTTAACCATTTAACATGTGTAAAACTACCCTACCATTTTTATTAGATTCTAACTTTTTTTTAATGTGTCACTGATGAAGTTTTTGAGTGTTGTACTCCTAACAAAATTTGTACTGCACAACTTTCTGTAGCATGGTGATTTTCAGAAACCTATATGTTGCATTATAGCAGAACTAACTATATTGTTTAACACTCAGGAATCAGTCCATTTCTCTACATTTCCATTGCTATTGGTTTAAACCAAGTAACTATCATCTTTCACCTAGTCTATACCAATGGTCTAATCCTGTGGTTCTCAACCAAGGACAGTACTTCCCCACTTCCACCCCATCCATTGGACATGTATGGAAGTGGGATATGTGTTTTGGTTGTCGTATGACTTGGGGAGGGACACTACTGGCATTCAGTGAACAGGGGCTGGGGATGCTACAAGTTCAGCAATATCACCCAGTGATTTGTCCCACCTGAAAAATGCCATATGCAGCCCCTTTAAGAAAAACCAGTAATTAGTCTCCCAAATCTGCTCATAGCTCTCTCTACATTGCAGCCAGAGAGAGCGTTTATAAAATGCAAATCAGATGATGCCTCTCCTAGGTTTAATACCCTATAGTTTCTTCCCCATGCCCAAAACATAAAGGTCAAAATCAAAGTATGGTCTATAGGCTCCCGCCTCCCCTTCCAGCTTCATCTGATCTCACTCTCCTCTTGCCACCTTCAGTATGCTTTAGGCAGTCCTTCACTCAACAAATAACAGGTGTCTATGTGCTACAAACTATTCAGAGCGATGGGGATAGAGCAGTGAACAAAAAAGACAAAAATTCTGTCCTCCTGGAATTTACATTCTAGTTCCATGAAGCTGTCAGGCTTCTACTCACATCAGGGCCTTGCAACATGCTGTTTGCTGTGTTTAGCCAATTCCTACACAAACTTTAGGTCTCAGCTGAGACATCCTTCCTTAGGGAACTATTCTCTGACCCCATCCCACTAAGGCATTTCCTTATTATATGATCTATGACCCTGAATTGTTTAGTGTTACTCAATGCAATTGAAATTATTTGTTCAACATCCATATTTTCTGTTATATCCCCAGGACCTCGCACACTACCTGGCACACAGAAGAACCCAATAATATTTGCTTATTGATGAAGATGTATATGTTTATCTGTGTACATGTGTCTTCACACTTTATGAATACATATTTATATTAATAAATAAATTCATATCTGGGTATATTTCCAAATATTTTTGCAGGTGACTATGTTTATATGAATATGTACACATGCATGTATGGATATGGACATAAAATTTTAGAGTGTACTCACTTGGGTGCATTCATTCACATGAGTACATGTATATATTTGAGCATGTGCATGTGTGTGTGTGTGTGTGTGTGTGTGTGTGTGTGTGTATGTCTCTGTGTGTGTACATTCTTCCAGGTCCTCAATGACAGCTCTGACCTCCTGGAGGGAACTGGGCCCCAAGTCCTCTCTAAGATGACAGCTCAATAAGAATACAAGATCATTCATTCAGTGACATCCCAAATGTCAGTGAGCACTGGCTTGCTCCACTCTGCTACAGGGGAAGTAGGTGGAGGCAGGAGATGTGGAAACCTGGCCGTTGAAAAGATACTATTTCCTGATGCAACCCACACCATTTGTGGAGAGGAGAGGGCAGCTGAAAGAAAGGCCTTAGGAAATGAGGATGGGGAATTCAGTCCCAGTTGCTCACTAATCAGACCAGGACCCTACCCATCTTTTTTGTGCAGCAAAACTCTGCTAGGGGAGTTGAGGAAGAGGAGACAAAAAAGGGAAGGAGGAAAGATAAAGTAAGGTCAAGGACCAGAGAGGACTGTGTCAGAGCCTGGATCACATGGAAACAAGGCACAGAGTAAGGCTTTTACATAATACTTCTGCAAGCTTGGCAACAACCTCTCTGGCTTTCCTTTTAACATTACTCTTCTTAAGGGAGCAGGAATCTTAGTGCAGCCTGCACTAAGTCATATAGCATAAAGGTCAGAAAGATTACCATGCCCCTGGGCCTCTAGGACTCTGCAGCCTCTATGTCTTGAAAGCTGCTAGCAAGGAATGAACTACTCTAGAATTAAGACATCTCTCATTTTGGACCTTTAAGCACATCTGGAACACGACATGACTGGAGTATAGAGAGGAAGGTGTTAGACCCCTTGTTTTTCCCAGACCTGCTAAGTTTACCTCATGAGAGGAAATTACAAGGCCAACTGGGAACAGGGTCCTCAGTTTCCCCTCGTACCCATTCCCACCCTCTATAGCTCAGCATAGTCTGGCAAAGAACCAAGCTGAATAGACTCAGGACAGCCTGTCTCCACCCCTTTGGGTCCAGCAGTCCCAAGGTGGCCCTGGGTGGCAATGTTACCACACGGGTCGGCTGCTTTCCTGCCTTTCTGCCAAGGAACCTAGAGGCAGGGAGCTATCCATATACCAAAAAGTCTAGTGAACTTCACAGAGCAATTGTTCATGGTCAGTGCCTGCCTCGCCTGGCCGGGCCTTCACATTGCATTTGCTGAGGCCAGCAAGCAGCCTTGGATGTGTTCTGACAGCTGGCGTGCTGTCTTCTAGGAGAGCATGCCTAGCCACACCCGCACTCCTAGCCCCACAAAGCCCTGCCTGGGAAGCTCTAAGGTGCCAATTCTCAAAGATGAGTTAGTCAGCCAGCAATTATTCACTAGCACATACTCTGTGCCTAGCCCTGGTCTAGCCACAAGGGACACAGAGAAGAACCACATTCAGTCTCTGTGCTCCAGATGGACATGTCTGGAAGAAAACACATATGGACTCGGTTTCAATTGAGATAACTGATAGCCCAAGTGCCAAGGAGCCTCAAAACTGACTTCTGAGCTTCTCAGCAGATGTGATAGCCTAGCTGAATCTTCAAGGAAAAGGACTATGCCTGAAGAAATATGCCTAGGGGACATTTCAGACAAAAGGACGGCCATAGGCTGAGGCCTGAGGCTAGGGCAGAGCCCAGCCTCCTCAGCCAAAGAGCAGTAGTAAGCAACAGTTGCTCAGCTATATGGGAGATCAACAGGAGAGGTAGATAGGGGTCAAAGTGCAGACAAGCCAGAGTGCAAAGGATTTTACAAATGCTGCTGCAAAGCATGGAACTAAGTCCAAGGTCATTCTTAGTGTGGCACAAATATTTATAAAACTTTCTCTTCCACTGCTCCTCCACCTGCCCGCTTAGCTCCAGGCCACAAACACACCAAAAGCATGCTGCTCTCCCTGCCAAGAAAGCAGTCTCTCCTCCCCGTGTTCATATCCCTCCTTCCTTGAATGCCCAGTTCAAGACTCAAATCACCATAATACCAAGGCTGGCCCCCCAGTGAGCCCTCTCTTCTCTGAACTTCCTGGAGTCACTAAACTGACTGATGGCATGAGGCTCCTGAGGCTGCTCCAGGGCTGTTGTCCTTAGATCAGAATGACTTATGAGGGTGAGTCTCCCTAGTGGACTAGACCTCCTGGAGCAAGGATCCCCCCAGAGCAGGGACCTGGGGAGCCTCGTCCTACACATCCTTTCTTCTGCTAACCTAGGAAGTACAGCACATACTAGGAAAGTACAGATTTCTGGGTGATTCATCCTCTGCCAGGCCCCACCATCATAGCTACACAGGGTCTTTGCCAGGCCCCAGCTTCAGAGCAACTCTCCATGTGCTTGTTGCTACATGAGTGCCAGCCTCCTCCCTCATGCCCAAAGGGAATTAGGTTCTAGTTTCCATGGCCCTTCTTCACAGAAGCAAGGCTCCACTGGAGCTTGGCCGGATGAAAGCCAGCTTGAATGAACTCCAATTCCCAACCAGAGGGAGGTATCAGGGCAGCCAGGAGGTTCAGAGGCCACACTTAAGATGACATCAAAGGAGAATACTTTCCCAGTGGCTCAGCTAGCACCGTATCTCTCCTAGAGACAACACAACTCGGTCCAGAGATTTAACTGGGACTTCTCTGCATGTCTGGGTGACACCATCTAGTGCAGCATCACACTCCACCCAGAGCCTGGTCCCCAAGCAGCTCCCCACCCTCAGAAATAACTATAACATTTCAGTGCATATGAGCTAGGGAAGAGGAAGGAGGGATGTTAAGGAAAGAGAAGGACAAAAGAAGAGGAAAAAGAACAGAGATGAGAAAAGAAAGCAAGGGAGGGGAGCTCTGAGGCCCAGGAGAACCAGAGGAAGCACCCAGGCGGAGCTCACACACGGTACCTTTTTCAGATTAATCCACTGCTTGAAGTAATCCGCCACTGGCAAGCCCAAGTACTGGCACTGGCCTGGGAGCCTACAAAAAAGAGAAGACAGAACAAGTTGGGTACACCCATGTCCCAGATATGGAGACTTAAGCTAGGAAGTCCAACATAGTCTACAGGACAAATAGACCCCAAAAGGCCAACCCATTAGCTGTGGTTTCCATCCCACCCAAAAAAAGGATCCTACCTCCAGCACCACGGATACTGGGCTCCAGATCCAGCCCTCAGAACCAAATATGAGAGTCCGAAGACTCTATTCAAAATAATACCAGCAGCTACTATTTTCTAATAGCTTTACAATGTGCTGGGACTCTTACTTACCTTTTCACATTTAAATCTTCAAAGTGATGCTGTGAGTTAGGTACTATTATCTACATTTTACAGATGAGGATATGAAACTCAGAGAGGTTGCCCAAGGTCCCACAGCTAAAACATGACAGTGCCAAGAACTGAACCCAGTTCTCTGACTCCAACGTCTATATTCTTTCCACACACCAGTTTGTTGTTACTGTTAGCAAAGAGGCAGAGAGACAAGTCAGGAGGAGAGAAAGAGCACACGATTTAGAAATAGATGGGCACCAGATTCAGCTCACATTTAAGCCTCTAGCTACAGGCTTTTTTTCAGATAGAGAAGAGGCCACACAGAAGGATAAGAAGAGGTCAGAATTTAAACCAAGGGTCTGTTCTTGCTTTTTCTATAAGTTAGAATTTACCCACTAACTCCCCCTCTACCTGATGATGCTGTTTCACCCATACAAATCTATTCAACCAAACATGCACTGATGCCTAATGGGGGTCAGGAACTTACGACTCAAAAAGTAAGACTTAACCCCTGTCCATAAAGGGCTCAGTTTGTTCAGAAGAATGGACAATGAAAGAAAGAGACAAATACACCCTTACGTTGCAGCAAGGGGAGAGCGCATGAAAGGATGGAGGAGGATGCCAGAAATATTAGCTGGGAAAGATCACAGTTTTCATCCTAAGAGAAGAACTTGGCCATAGGCAATGGAGAGCCTCTGAAGAGTTGTGATTTACCAAGATTGTTCTGGGGGCAGCAAAAACAGACTAAAAAGGCAGGGTAGTAGCCAGGCAAAGAGAGACAGTAGTGGTAGAGACAGTGATCAGGGAATAGTCGTCAGAGATGTAAGGGAAGCCCTGGTGACCAAATGGGATGTGGAGCCCAATTCAAAGGTGCATGGCATGGGTAGCTTCACGCCATGAAGCTAAGATAGATACAAAGATAGGAGGCAGTAGCATAGAGAGCATATTCAACACCCACAGAAGGCCAGCATTTAAGTCAATTTTATTATTGTTTTAGAATTCTCTACATGTAGTGTACTTCCTTTCTGAGGGGCAGGGGGCGGGGTGACTGCTCCCACTGCCTCACCCTCAGCACACCACTAGAAGGAAGAGTTTGGGAATGCAGTTTTAGATACATGCTGACATAGAGTAAGCACTCGATGCCTGTTGAATTTGAGGTGCCTAGGAGACATTTGACAGTGGAATGATGTCTACGAGGCAGCTCGATATCCAGTTTTGAAGAGAGGTCTGGACTAAGGATATAGATTGCTGAATCATTTGTCTAATTTAAATAAAACTAAAGCCGTGAGAGTAGGTAAGATCACTTGGGAAGAGTGTAGAGATGAACAGAGGGCCCTGGCTAGTGCCTTGTAAGTTTTATTGAGCTGAAATGAAACCAGGCCGCCTCTACCAGACATCATCATACACAAGGAACTCACTGCTTCACGCAGCAGCCGGCTCTAACTTTAGACGCAATTCTTAGAATATCCTTCCTTAAATACTAAATTAAATGACACTGCATATCAGCTCAGCAAAAAAAAAAAAAAAAAAAAAAAAAAACTAAACTAAAATCTGTCTCCCTGTAACTTCTTCCCATGAGTCTAAGATATGTCTTTAGAAACAACAGAGAACAAGACTTCCATCTCTTCCCCATAGAACACTTCCAAGATCTGAGAGTCCAGAAAGCTCTTCCCAGAGTTCCCTACTCCAGACTACACACTCTCAGCAACTTCAAGAGTTCCTCAGCCCAAGATGAAGGGGCATCCAGATAGACATACCCATGTGGGACAAAGGACCAAGAATATGAGGAAATTATGCTAAGTTTTTTAGAATGAAAAGTAACTTTAAGAGCTAGAATGTGGTTGTCTAAGAAGCAGAACTGTAACCTGACAATGATTTTATTTCCTTCAATTTTTCTTTATTCCTTATCCTTGGAATTTAGAAAATGCTTGCTGAGTAATTTTAGAAAACTAACATTCAGGCCTGTAAGTGAAGGGAGCCACCAGAAGCAGCACAACCTGCAAAGGAACAGGTCAGGGGAATCGGCCAGCAAAAGGCAGAGAGCCCCTATCTTCTTCTCCTTTAGCCAACCCAGCACCCCCTGATTCTTTTAGTTAACACAGGCCAGGAGTCCTGTTGGCTCAGTTCTGGGAGGAGCTCCCTTTTGAGCAGAACTTCTGAGGTAGATAACAGCTGTAGACATTTCTATCCAGTAGGAAGAGTCTAGGTCAGTAGGATCCTGCTTCCTCCTCTTAGAGACCCTACACCAGAGGGGCCAGCTTGAGGACAGACCAAACATTGTCAGGCTGGATACTCAGCCTTAGATATGGCTCAGCAGCAATCCTGAGCACCCTTCTGTACCCCATGTCTCACTGGAGACTACAATTCTCATTTAGGGGCTCTACTCACTTGCAGGTACCCATGCAGTTTGCAGACTCACTTACGGGCATTTGGGTTGTTCAGTAGTCCTCTGGGTGGTCCTAGCCCTGTGACTCTAAAATATAAGCAGTACAGATGTAGCAGGGCCCAGCCCCATCTTCACCACAGACACAGAACCAGATGCCAAAACTTGAACTTCCAGGTGCCTCGTGGGAAGACAGCTAAACATCTCTCTCACACACCCCTACCCCAGCTTAGAGAACACTGAGATGATGTCTGTGAGGAAGGTGGGTTACAGTGGTTGTCACCCCTTATACAAAAGAGGAAACCGAGGCTCAGAGAAGAAGGATTTGCTCAATCATACAACCAGCCAAAGAACTAGAAAGAACTAGCCTTAGAACTAGAAATGGAATCTAAGGCTCCAAATGCACAGGTATCAGTTGGGTAAGATGCATTTGGAGCTCTTTACATTCCTGGGGAGGCAAAGACCAGGGCCTTAGAGAGGCAGGTAGCATGGTGGTCACTGGTGAAGATCACACCTGGGTTCAAGGTTCTTAGGAGCCAAAGGCTAGGATCAGCAGGGACCAGTGGGTACATGGTTCCACCAATTTGGAAAGAAAAAGGGCAAAAGACCCCCCCTGACAGAAAGGGTCTGAATGCTGTAAGTTCCTACCAGATACTGATCCCAAGAAAAGAGCCACTGGCAGTGGGCCCCGGACTAGCCTGCGGGCACGAACGTGCAAGCAGGTTTATGGTGCCCAGGTCTCCATGCAGCTGGATTCACTGGGCACAAAGCTCCCCAACTGCCCAAACATCATCTGGTCATGCTTATTACTGTTGCCCAATGAAATTTTATGCACCGAGTCCACAGGTGTGATTTCCCCTTCTTTATGAGGGTCGGAATGACATCACTGATGGCCAATAGAAAAAAGCCAATTATGTCCAGGCCATAAAAAGGAATGAGATTTTTTTCAACCAAATCAAAACTTCCTTCAGCTTCATGAATGCAAGGGGCCCCTTTAAAGAAGGGCCCCCCAGTCCTGCCTGTGAGCTCTAAACTGAGGCACATGATTGCATTTCAAATAGGGACAGAAAGGGGCTCCACCTTTGGCATTTGCCTGTGGCCCTGCTCTTATCACACTGGTCCTTCAGGGTCCTCAGAACAGAACTTCAAACCCTATTCTCAGACCCTAACTTGCTCCTCACTACTCCATCCAGGGGAAAGTTAGAAAAGAAGAGGTACTCTTCAAGTCCCTTATGAATCCTTTTGAATAACAAAAAAGAAAGCACAGAGCCCTCCCCTTGCTTAGAAAGAAGGGAACAATATAGGGGGAACAGGATTGTAAGAAACTGCCCCCAAGCACACAGCACAAAGCAAAAGGAGCCCAGTCTTCCCCACCCCACCCCTCATTCAGCCCTACCACCTGCAGCCGAGCCACTCTGGCGGGGCCCAGACAGCCCTGATGGCAAACAGGTGTGGCTAGCTTGGCGCCAGCCAAGACAGGGGAGTAGCTCATTAGGGAAACACCCCCCTCACTAATGGGTATGGTCAAGGTGGAGCCATTGTGAGCGGAGCTCAGCTTTGAAGATTAGGTGAAACGGAGCTGGGGGGAGCGCTGCTAGGCTTGAGGCAAGGGGACCAGCACATCCATGGAGGTCTGACCCACAGACTAGCAGATGGACACCAACAGTCAGGACCAGCAAGAGCTCAGGCACCAGCACTAGAAAAGGTCACAAACATTCCTTATGTGCTTTCATCTCTTCAAGTCTTAGGGACAGACCCAACTCAGGGAGATGCACGTCACTCACACTTTTAGCAGACTTGAGCCCTTAAAAAGGAGGGAGACCACCCAACTCTGGAGCCATCTGTGACCCTTTCAGCCTCTCAGGAAAGGCTGTGGGACCTGGATCTTGAAGTGATGTGGGCTGTCAGTCCTGTGCCCAACAGTTTAGGACAGGCATATACTGTTCACCTACAGGAACAAACTATCGTGTTCCTATGACATGGGGGAGTGTTGGGGGACAAAGGTGAAGAGAAGGGGAGAGGCTCTGTCTTCTTCAAAGTCATCATTGGACCATAATGGCACAGAAGGCCCAGCTACCCAGTAGGCCAGCAACAGCCAGCCAAACAGCCAGATGGAAGATCCTGCCACAGGACACCTATGAGGGGTGGGTGGGGCTTGTTTCCATGCAGAATTTCCACACTGGCTCATTCCAATACAAATACTCTCAAAGAATGCTGTCCCTAGCTGTCCTGCATCTCAGAACTGTCACAATTTTCTATGCTTCACTCCAAGTCCTGAGCCTCAGGAAAGGTCCCATTCCCACCGGATCCCAGTCTGGGAGTCCTATC